ACACACACACACACACACACACACACACACACACAGACATACACATGCACACTCACACAAAAGAGGAGTTGCTTTAGGTTATAAATCTGATTAACATCCACCCACAATGTTTACACACTGCCTTCACTTGAGGCAACTGATATAAAGCAGCAGCATCATGAATCTCATGAGACATTAGGCGAAGCAACATACATCTCCGTCTGTTAATGTCACAACCGGCCTTTTTGCTCTTACCAGTGGACACACAACCATCTCCAGCCTCCTTACACTAGCAAACACAGCACACAGGACATTTACACCCATCATGAGTTTGGCATAAAATCAATACTCACTTAAGGCACACATTTCATTAGTAAGAAGATGAGCAGAACACGCTACTTTGAGACGAGATGAGCCTCTGAGCCCCACGGTCAATACTAACCCCTGACCCTTTCCTCCTCCTAACCCCCGTCTTCCCGTCCGTCCTGCCTTCTCTTTCTTAAAGGGTTTTCTGTGGACTCGGCCATGGGGATAATGAGCCTTGGGGAGCTGACCTTCGTTGCAGGTGCACCTCGGGCCAATCACACAGGGGCGGTGGTACTGCTAAGGAAAGACAACGTGTACCGACTGGTGCCACAGCACATTTTCTGGGGGGAAGAGCTGGCGTCTTCATTTGGGTACTCGGTGGCTACGACTGATCTGAATAAGGACGGGTGAGGAAATGCTGGATGAGAAGATGGATGGGGGTGACCACTGGTGGAAGAAGTATTCAGATAATTTACATAACAGTAGAAATGCCACAATATAAAAATACTCAATTACAAGTAAAAGTCCTGAATTCACAATTTTACAATTTTTACTAAAAGTACATAAGGATTTTGTTTTCAATTAAAGTGTCAAAAGTAAAAGTACTCAGATAAAATACTCAGACCCTATCAGTGTTACATTTCTATATTACTGTAGAATTATTACTGTAGAAATATTACTTTACTATAGCAGTTGATGTGGAGCTAAATTAACTGCTTTATATTGTTTTAGGCAGCTTAGTTTAATCTATGAGAATACATCATTACACATATGTTTATATATTTTATCAATTGCTCATTTATTCTATCTGAAATGTAACTATTAACTACAGCTGTGGAATAAATGTAGTGCAGTGAAAAGTACAATATTTGCATCTGAAATGTAGTGGAGCAGAAGTATGAAGTAGCATTAAATGGAAAAAACTGTAGTAAAGTACCTAAAAAATGTAAAGTAGAGTACATGAGGGTGAATGTGGGTAACTGTGGATGAGAGGGGGTGAGTTTCACAAAAAACTGTGCTCCCAAAACTCAATTCAGTGCTTTGTGACATTTTATTATTGACTTTTAATTCTCTTCCCCTGTTTCTGTCACTAGCTGGACCGATCTGATTGTTGGAGCTCCTAATTTCTTTGACCGTAAAGCGGAGATCGGTGGAGCTGTGTATGTGTACCTTAACCCCTTCGGTCACTGGGACGATCAGGCTCGGCCAATCCGTCTCAACGGGACCTATGACTCCATGTTTGGAATGACCGTCAGCAACATTGGAGATCTGGACCAGGATGGATACGGAGGTGAGAGCTTTTTCACATGGAGACCCATACACTGATAAATATTCAATTTGATAGTGAGTGTAATATAATATATAATTACTAAATCTATGTCCAGACTTTTAGATATTACTATTAAAAAAAAACACACAAAAGTTACTGCTGTTATTGTTGTGGGTTTCTTTAACTCAGTTTCACATATAACATACTAACAAAAAGGGACTCATTCTGTTACATTTCTGCTGGTTTTGTTTAAAATGGATGGCAATTTTAATGGTTTTAATCCAGTTAAAGCCACGGTTGGGAATTTATAAAGAAATAAGCTTTTTATTATATTTGCTGAATCTTTCACTATATCCTGACAGTAATACATGAGACAGATCATTATTAAGTTGTTGATAATTCTTGAGTCTCATTCCCAGGTCGTCAAATACTGATGCTTTGGGTCCCAGTTCTTCAAGCCACCAACCCAAAGCCTTGACAACCTGGGAATGAGATTATCTATTCAATTCAATTCAATTCAATTTTATTTGTATAGCGCCAATTCACAACAGAAGTTATCTCAGGACACTTTCAAATAGAGCAGGTCAGACGAACTCCTTTTAACAATTACAGAGACCCAACAATCTGTCTCATGTGATATAGTGACAGTTTCAGCAAATATGACAAAAAACTATCTAGTGCAGCTTTCATATCAATTAAATTTTACTGTCACACTATTACTTTTGTTTAATTTTTGTTTGACATTTTTTTAAATTTGCACTATAGATAATGTATTAAATGTTTCTAATAACATACACCTAAAACTCTTTTCATTCAATCTGTTCAGATATTGCTGTGGGGGCACCATTTGATGGAGATGGCAAAGTTTTCATCTACAGAGGCTCAAGTGCTGGGATTGAAACAAAACCTGCTCAGGTGAGTCACAAGTTTCATACAAACAGTTTAGGAATGAGCGAACAGAAGGAAGGAAGGATGAAAAGAAGAATAGGAATACAAGAGTGACTGACTGAATTAATGGTGGCTGATCAATGTGTCTTATCCCATCAGGTGCTGGATGGACGTGACTTTGATGTGAGACGTTTTGGATACTCCATCTCGGGTGGTTTGGATATTGATAATAATCAGTACCCAGATATTGCTGTGGGCTCTCTTAATGATTCAGTGGTTCTTTTCAGGTGAGAAAAGTTTTTTTTTTAGATGAGATCCTCAATTTTAATTTAGTTTTATCATAAATCCTGTATGTGTAGTATCTGTTTCTACTAAGACATAGTCATGATTTGTTCTGCATTCACGTCTTGTTTTTGTGTGCCACCAAGGTCTCGTCCAGTCATCCATGTGAACAGAGTTATATCTATCGACCCTCAAGACATCGATCTGGAGCAGCACAACTGCAAGGGCAGAGATGGCGTCTGGTAAGAACTCATAAAACAACTGAACAAACATTCAGAATAACTGAACTAAACCCAGATATAACAAACAAACCAGCAGCTAATGATTTTCAAAATAATGTATGATCTCTATCTGTTGTAAAAACAGCAACACTTTTTTTTTCTCCACCGTCTGCTGTTTTTAGCATGGAGGTCACGGCCTGCTTCACCTTCACAGCCCACCCAGAACACTACTCACCACACATTAGTAAGTCACAACCATTTGGTTCTTCTCTCATGTGGGACTTCAGATCACTCCCATAGTGACAGGAGTCATTTCTATTTACAGTGGAAAGTAACCTTATCTGTGGGGTAACATTAGACTTTATTTTGATTAAATCACAGCTGTGTAATACTGTATTCCCTTAGATGGGGGTTTCATATATGTTCTGTCCCTGGTGGGCTCTTTAAGTGCTCTCTGTGTGTGTCTTGACATTTCTGGTTTTTCAATCCCTCCGTCTCTCTTCACGCATCGCTCCCTGTTTTACTCCCTTCAAGCCCTGGTGGTGCACTTTGAAGCCGACACAGAGCGCAGGAAGTTGGGCCTCCCCCACCGTGTGAACTTCCTGGGCCGCAGTTCCCTGGAGCCAGAGTACACGCAGACAGAAGAAGTGGAGCTGCATCGGCAGCGATATCCTGTGTGCACCACTGCTGTCTTCCAGCTCCATGTCAGTAATGTAGATGTTTTCCAGATCAGAAACAGCAACTGCTTTTTTGTTAAAATGTTTTTTCCCAAGGTATTGAGGTATTAGTAAACAATAGTTGGTACTGGTCTTGGTTTTTGTCTTATTTTACTCTGGTAGCCGAAAATGGATGGAAATAATAACATTACTAAAATGCTACAAAAATTTTAAATCCCCACTCTTTTGCACCATAAACAAGCTCTTTCCCCAAATCTTTTATTGTCTATTAATCTTTTTTATGATCTCTGTCCATGCAGGAGAGCATCCGTGACAAACTGCGTCCCATCTCATTGGCGATAACCCACACTATCAAGCCTGTGCCACCACGTAGACACTCAGGTGCCAAGAGGCTGGAGAAGCTGGCGCCTGTCCTGAGTGTTTCCCCCTCTAATACACTGTACTCTGAGGTCTGTAACAAAAAGGAAGTATTTTATGGTCTGGATTAATTTTAATAGGCTACACTTGCCCACAAATCACTGTATAAACAAGTTGAGCTTAATGAGACACATTCGGGCTTGTCAAGGCTTGTTAAAGCCCAAATTATTACATATAAAACAAATCATGCTGAGAAATGGATTCTTAACCTTGCTACATAACTGAATTTTGTATTAAAAATCTAAACATGTAGAATGTGCTTTGAGATTGAATTAAAAGTCTGTCTCATTTATTCTCCGAAGATAAACTTCCTGCGAGAAGGATGCGGCAGTGACAAAATCTGCCAGAGCAACCTGAAGCTGAATTACCAGTTTGGAACGCGACCCCTGACTTCCGACCTCTTCACCCCTTTGCCAAAGTTAGTATCTGCAGAGCCCAATCTGTGTGAGCTGGTAGCCATGATGATGTGAACTGTTGCCTAGCAACCTTTACCCCAACTCAAACAATTGTGTGTATGCAGTAGTGATAGCCCACATGAATATTTACCATGAAAATATAACACCATGGTTCTTTAATTTATCTTTTGGTACCAACTGATAACAAGGTTCCATTTCTAAAGTGTTTCTGTGTTGATACTAATGGGTTTATTAATGGTTCAGGACTAATTTAATCATGCTTTTTAGATAAGCTTTATATGTATATTTATAAGCCTTTGGAACAACCTTTTGTCATGTTGTGAATTTCTCACTTTCTGACTAATATGCATCAAAATATACTTAAAGTACTAAAAGTAGTCATTATACAGATTGTCTCATTTCAGAATAATGCACATTATAGAAGTATATAATATAATTATTTATGCATTAATGTCTACATTACTTTAATGCTGCTGGTGAGGGGGGAGTTTTATTTTACTTTATATACTGCTGGGTAGCCCTCTGGGGATCAATAACGTTTCATCTTAACCTATAATAATTGATCATAATTGATTTTATTGATTATACTTAATATCTTTAACTTAATCTGCAAAGTAACTAGCAAGTTATTGAATAAATGTGGTGGAGTCCAAAGTATAATATTTCCCCCTAAGCAGAGTATGAAAATGAGAATTCTACCCAACTGTTAATGTGTGTTTTCTGTCCTCTTCCCCTTCATGTAGAGATGAAGATGATGTGCAGGTGTTCTCCCTGTCCGACCAGAGGTTGGTGGTGCTGGAGATCACCGTCACCAACATGCCCTCTGACCCCTCTGACCCTGAGGAGAACGGAGATGATGCCCATGCTGCTCAGCTGCTTATCACCCTTCCAAACACTTTGTCGTATGCCGGCTCAAGGATCCCCCCACAGGTACGGGCTCTATCAAGTCTTGTACAGGTTGAATCATGTAGCAGAAACACGTATGTTTGGATTTCTGTTTTTGCTGATAGTGTTTGTTTGATATCTTGACTGACTGTAGATGAGATGCCAAGCAAACCAGAATGGCTCCCAAATTGAATGTGACCTGGGAAACCCTGTGAAACGAGATACTAAGGTAAGAAAACACAACAGAGTGAGTTCAGTCAAAGCTTGGTGGACCGTCAGGATTAAATGATAACACTTGAAACTATAAAATTATATAAATTGTTTAATAATTTCATATACTTTGATAGCTTTTGATATTTCTTTCCTACAGCAGGAAACAAAATCAATTCATGTGTTCATCAGCGTTATGTGTAATTTGTCCTGTCTGAAATATCAGTTTATGTGTTGCTTTTTCAGCTGAAGTTCTCCATCAACTTGAGCACATCTAACATCACAATTGAGACCACTGAGTTGACAGCAGATCTCTTATTGACAACGTAAGCCCTCTGCATCTTTTGTGAAAAGCCATATGACACCAATATGGACTCACTCACATCAAGCTTTGATTATTTAACTGAAGATATTTGACTTGTTCAGACCAAATAATCCTTTAATCGCAGCGTTTGTTCATGGTTTTGTCCTCAGTATCAGTGAGCAGCCTGACCTGGTACCAGTCACAGCTTTTGCTAAAGTTGTGATAGAGCTCCCTCTGTCTGTCATTGGGTGAGTAAAACCTGTTTAAATCTGGATGTGGCTTTATTTTTGTTTAGTTTACTTAAACTTAACATACACATTTTCCCCTTATTTTCCACAAGCTTTAATCTTATTAAAATCATGTTATTCCATGTTAGTCTGACAGTATCACATATATCCTGTATCAGCCTGTTACAAGTCTTCATTGATGCTATATGATGTTTACACTGAGGTTTTCTAGATATCGTGTACATGTACGGCTTTGTGTTAGGGTGTGTTAAACTTAAATAAAGAAAAAATCACTGTACCTATAAAAAAGTAGCTCTATGACGCTGTGTGAGTGTGTATGCAGCTGTCTGACCCACTGGTGTGATGGTGTTTTACTGCAGGCTTGCTCGTCCTCACCAGCTGTTCTTCAGTGGGACAGTGAAGGGAGAGAGTGCCATGACTAGTCTGGATGACATCGGCAGCCCTGTGGATTTTGAGTTTGTGGTGAGGAACCAGTGTGTGTGTATGCAGGTGTATACACATTAAAACAACCTGGCTATTAAGATATGAGATATTTCTACTGTCAACCAAGAAAGTATTTTTTTTTTCTGACAGGTTGCTAATCCTGGGAAAGCTCTGCAGACGCTCGGCTCAGCCTTCCTCAACATCATGTGGCCTTATGAGCTGGCCAATGAGAAATGGCTCCTGTATCCTGCCAGCTTGAAGTTTGAAGGTCACCCAGACACACAGTGCACCCCAACAGGGGCTTTGAATCCTCTGAAGCTACACAGCTCCTCTCTTGCTCAACTTCCCCAGCCTGTCAATAACGTAAGCAGTTCACAGTTCATTTCTGACTCTGATAGGAGAACCTATTTTAACACCACAAATAAAGACAACAAACATTTTGGATCTTAATTCCATTTACTTTTTTTTTTTTTTGGCTTGGAAGGTTCCTAAACTGAGTGAAATGTGAAAGATACATCAATGGCAGCCATGATAAGGGTTGTTAGATTATTTCAGATTCAGATTCAGATT